GCCATTCTATTGAACCCGCCAGTTGTCATTCTACTGAACATAGAATCTGAGGAAGAGGTACACAATAAAAACAAAACAAAATCATTCACAACCCAAAGCAAGACAAAAGCACAACATATCTCAGCAAGGAAAGGAAGTAAACCAACCAAGGAAAAATCAGACTGGTTAGCAAACTGGTGGCAGTAGTCTCGGCTAGTAGTTTGTGACAACTTTGAGTACACTTGCAGACATTCTACACGACCATGACACGAACTCAGTGGTCAGTAATGATGCCACTTCTAAACCTTTTTAGCATATAAAACTGAATCCATCCCTCACAACTATTCTTCCGATCAGACAAATCCTTGAGCAGAAGAATGGGAGAACGATCCCATCTATCAAAGACAGAACAATTAGCTTTAACCAAAGCAGAACTTGCAGATTTGGTTATTTTTCGTACTATCTTCAATACTAAAATAAAATCCAACATATGATTTCTCTACAACTCAGAAATTCCCCGGTCTTAGTAATCTTATGTTGCGATTCGGCGACCACCAACACCTTTGCCAGCAAACGCGTCCTCGATATCTCGATTGGGAAAAAGACAAACAGATATTCAGAATGAATAAAAGAGAATGCGAAGAGGAAACAACCAGAGGCTGAACTTTCAAATCGTCTCTCACCTTGCAAAAATCTTCTCCCAACCTTAGGCAAATCGCACATCGACAAAGCACGAGATAGATCCATGGTTCATAAGTAGGAAACCGATCTTAACTGACAAGACGCATTTTGGGGTGTAATGTCGGAGTTCTTGTGTTAAACGTGCTCAGTGTGGAGTACAACAAGGATGAGTGACCTTATGAAAAGTCACCTTGAATTACACCCCAAATTTCATATCAATAAAACATAAGAGAGATTCGTGATTTATTAAAAAGAAATTAGCATTAATTGACAAGACGATGTGAAGTGGATCAGTTATTGTAAGAGCTTTAGAGTTAAACTTGTTCAATGTGGAGCAGTGCAAACGACAGACATGAGTGACTTCCCGTGAAGTTATCACGATGGGCCCAAAAACAAAACCGTGCAAAATTAAGTCTAAAACGAACAATATCTTGATCAGTAAACATCGTAATGTCACAATATGGTTTGTTTCCTTTTTTTTACCTTTTCAATTATTAAAGAAGGCACGATAGCTATGTAGATAGATAGCTATCAATGGGGGGTCTCTGCCATTCCCATGGTGGTTTAGTTGTTTGCCCACCCCAAACTTGGCTACACATTTTTGGTCCCCCAAAACAAGCAAAAGAGAGGCAAACCCAAAAGATACAAAGAAAAGACATGTAGAAGGTGGTGTGTAGAAGAGGGCTCAATCTTTCTTTACTACTTCCCCTATCAACCTTCCAAGTTTTTTTTAATGTAAATCATAACCTTTCTTTTCGATTTGGGTTGATGGTGTCGAGGATTTACGAGGCGGGTTGAATGATGCATCGTCTGAAATGGGTTGATTGTAAAGCGAACATGTTGCTTTTTGAAATAGTCAGGTTTTGAAATGGATATAGTCCGTCGTATTTAGAGAAAAGTGGGTTTTGTTACAAGCGGAACGTGAGTGATGAATTGCATATCAATGCGCATCTCAATGGATATGCTGCAAATGCATTGTTGCGAGTAATTCACAACAATGCACCATATATATAATTTTCTATCGAGCGATTGCATTGTGTGTGTGTGTTCACGCAACGCACCCTCTAGCCTCCCAAATGAACAATCCAACCGACTCATGTGTTCAAATGCGTCAAGGTGTTTTCATATCCGGAAATGAGGTTTGCCAGGGGTCAAGCAGAAAACCTCTCGGTCACATAAGACTACAATGTCATGTCAGGAAACTAGTCGATCCCAACGATACGAGTTGCAGGGAAATGTACCTTTGTTGCCCATGTGCCATATATTGATATCCAATGAGGGAGGGTGACGTACCTTTGTTTTGCGACGAAGTTGACAAACAAGAAAGGGTGAATTGGGATTGTCCATCATTGCCTTAAACATGCAACTCGATATCTCTTGCATTTATGTAATGCCAAAATTGCTGGTGAAGATAATGTGTACATTGTGGGCAAAAATGATAGGTAGCTAGCCAGAGAAGTGGGGAAAGTGGGTGTTGATTGATCAATTTAAGTAGGGCAAACGTAGGTAGAGAGGAGGACCCTCGAAGAACTATGTATATATGATCACATTTAATTGTTTGTGATCATTGGGAGGCAAAGAGAGAGAGTGGGTGGACCTAGTGGGTAATTTGACTCAATCGAGTTATTGTTGGTATGAGTATTGGGTCAGGTCCAAATGAACTCATGTACACTCTCAGGAGTTGTTTGCTCGATGGATTTGGATACATCATGAGTTTTGCTCAACTTTATTGTTTGCTTCATATATTTAGGGGTAACAAATCCGTGGGACCCACACCCACAAACTTTGAGACTTGAGAGTCTAAATTTGTGTGCTCTATGGACTTGAAAATCCTATCCGGTTAAGTGGGTAATAAAAGTCAATTTCACTTCACATAGAAATCTAATTAGCAAAATCCATCATTGAAACAAACAATGGTGTTTTCAAGTCCATAATGAACCCAAAACCCTCATATTATCCATAGGTTTTCGAAATTGAAGTTTCACCAGAACTTTCATTTTTCAAATCCACCAAGCAAACAACCCGTTAATGATTATAGGTACGGGTCGAGTTTGGATTGGGTCCAATTTTTACAGGTACGGGTACAGAATCATCAAACACAAAATATAGGGAGCAAACATGCCCTGAACTAGCTATAGCTATCTAGCTAGCTAGGCTAACTTCATTGTTCCTGCAGGTTTGTCCTGTGTTATATGATCAAATGATGAAGAACAAATATCATAATAAGCAACTCGTACAGCTTCGTCCATAGCTTTCCATTCCCATGAAAACAAACAACGAAACCCTAAACCAACACAAAAGCCAAAACGAGCTAGCTTTCATTAGTGATTCGCTGGCTGGATCCATGAAAATTAACGAGTTAAGCATTCAACGTCCACGTTGTTGTATTCATTCTTTGGCTTCTCATGTTGCTCCCATTTATGGAAGGAAAAAAAAAAACCCCCACCACCATGAAAGGAGAACGACACAACAAGGCCAAAGCTATCATTGTTCATTTTTGAAACTCTCTTGTTGTGACATCCCTGATCTCCATCGTTCTATATGTTATATACACGTACGTTTTAGTTTGTACTTCGGCAATCGGCACCAAAGCAATTAGCAAAGGTACCAAATTAAGCGGACTAAAATGTACGCCTAATGTAGGCCAGACCGTAAATTACCGATCGTGCGCGGATCATCGTCCGAACCAGTACGGTGCAAAAATATTATGAAAATAATATGCCGGTATGTTCTGTGAAGCTTAAATCAACTGACGAGCATTTTTTTTTTTTACAGTTGAAACGGTATCATGCTATTTGAATTTATCACTATTTTTTTTTATCAATGATATAAAACGAGTATGTTAGTAGTGGATACTTGGATTATATCACTAAAATATTATACCTTGTCCGGTATGACTTCTTGGTTCGGTTACGAAGCCAATTATTTCGGTCCTAACCTGATTCATCGTAAGTAACTACGTACATCTCAGTTTTGACCAATTTCGTAAACAATTTCAAAAGGAAGCATCAGACTTTCTTCCTTAACCATAGTTAAGGCTTATAATCATATGAGAATTTTATACACATTTTCGAGATTATTCCAACTTATGAATATCTAATAAATTTATGGAAATAAGCGATATGTACTCGTAAGGAAATTATTGGATAATTAATATAGAACCTTAGAACATAGTGTGTCAACCCTCATAAGTCATAACTACTTTATCAGCTTTCGCCCATGCCAGCAAAACCATAAGTTACGAGATAAGCAATGGGGCAGTGATGTCAGTGCGATGTCACGTTGCATATTGTGAAATTGACTTTTTTGGGTTGTGATAATGGTGACACTATTAAGCCCATGAAATCGAGAAAGCCAACACTATCAAATCGCTTATAATCTGGAACCCTATTAACTTAAAGCAAGCAAATCCAGTTGTTGCCACCCAACCCAGCTTTAATTGATTGATTTTGCAGTTACCACTACTAAGTTCAATTTCATAGGAAAGAGAAAGCAAGCAACAATTGATCCTCAATAACAACTTTTTCTTTTCTTTCCGGTCACTGTAACCACTACACCGATTCATTTTATACTATTCGACTGATAATATGGATTCGATTTAACGATCAACTATTAACAGTGATGACGAGATAATAAAATTAATACGCAAAAATCTGAGGTATCATATTAGAGAATGATTCGCAGAGCTCTTACTGTCAAACAATGTTACTGTGTGGCTGGCGTCAAACAGAGTCTAAATGTAGTCTGTTTAGTTTAGGAGAGGATAAATTGAATTAATGGCTTGAATGGGACCAAGTCCCAGCCTCATTTAGCTATTGGAAGTTCCGTTCAACATCCTCCCAAGTTCCAAACCGAAAAATATGGTTTCTAATGAATACTGGGTCCAAAAATGTGGAGCTTTCAAGTTTCGTTTTCCCATTTCAGATGGCTGTCACTGTCCATAAACCCCATTGGGAACTCCAAATTTGACCATCTCCTGCAACAAATCTTAAATCGATATTCAATGCTGCAGCAACAAGACAAGGACGCGAGTTAGGAATATGAAAGCAGGCCAGCTTGACAGATTAAAACACCATTCCTAATAAGCTTCCTGATAAGGAACTCTAACTGGTGTCCACCACTGCACCTTTCCACCACTGCATTTCACAACACCAACAGATTAAAGGGATGGGTAGTAGAAATTTTACAGATACAGCACCTGAAATTGCAGAGATATATGTATGTATTGATGACATTTTCTGATACTACTACTGGGACCTAATATGAAACCTGGCAACAGCTCTAAGAGCTTATACATATACTACTACCACAGCAAAATGGGTACATAACATAACAAACACTCATACAACATTCCTCAAGAGAAGATCATTTGACAAGTAACTGGCAAAACTAGAGAAAGGTCTGGTTTGTGTCTCCTTTTGATCATCTTGCTTCCCGTTCAAATACTCAAATTCTTCAGTCCATCCAAGCTTTGACCTGTCCTTGACTCTTCCGTGACATCTTCCGCATTGCCTCCTGCAGTCTTCTTCTTCTTCTCTTCCGTTGAAGTTGACGGTGGCCTTGAAGCGCGGCGCGTGGTCGGGACCTTCCCTAATGCAAGTATAGGAAGGGAGGTTGAAGCAGCTCCGCTGCGCCAGCTCCTGAAGCTGGTTCTTGTACATTTCTTCCTCCTTGCCTACTCAGCACGAATCTTCTCCTCTCTTGTCGTCACTCTTCCCCGCCGCTTCCCATATCCGATTCTTCAGAGTTCCCAGCGAGAGGGTTCGAATCGGGTCCCCGATCGGCGAAATGGGTCGGGGGGAGATCGAGCGAGCTCTACTGGGTTTGTTTTGGTTTTTAGGGTTTTGATGTCTTTGCAGATAGATAGAGATGGAGAGGGAGACAAATGGGGGTGGAGGGAGTAATGAGTAAATCTGATAGTGCGGGGACCCTGCAATAGCGTTATTCTGCTAATCCTTTAAGTGGTTAGCAGATACTAACACGGTGGGATGATGGGTCACGTCGCCGAGCCACCATCGGAGGGCCAGGGGTCGCCGGCGCTGTTCTGTGAGGGGGGAGTGTTTTTGGCCAAGCCGAGCCACTTTTGGGAAAAGTGGGGACAGAAAAAAAAAAAAACCCAAATTTGAACTGGATTCCTATTCAACGCCCTAACTTTTTAAAAATTACGCCCTAAATTAACCAAATGGACGATTCTACCCCAATCCCAAAACCGGTCGCCCTAATTTGACGATGCTGCGCCCGTCGCCGTCCTAATTTCGCTCGCTAGCTCTGTTCCGCCAGACGCCGCCACCACATCCACGTCCGTTGCTGCGCTTTTCGAGCACGTTGCCACCTCCACGTCCATCAATCGCCCTAATTTTGGTCTCCCTAAGCGCGTCACCGCCGCCACTTCCACCTCCGATCAAGGACGTAGAAGAAAAGAAATTCGGGGTTCTTGCTCGGGTACTCGGATTCTGATTTCGGTACTTGTTCCTGCTGGGAGATGGGAGGAGTAGGGGAAGGTGGGGAGTCGGAAAGAGGACGGCGAGTGTGGTGGATTTGGAACGCGGGAGGCGGGAGCCGAGGGTGGAGTACGATCGGGAAGAATCAAAGCCTCAAGTCTGGAAGATCCGAGAACAGAGAAGCTGGTAGAATCAAGAGCACAAGGGTTTCAGGGATTTCGAGTGAGTAGGTTACATGAAATGGAAGAGAATCGGCGGGAGAAAGCCACCGCCGACCGCCATGGTTGTTTATTAGAGGGGAAATATCTGTCGGCGGGTCAGAACTAGGCACACCGAGTAGCAGAGCGAGGACTTAGGATCTGTTCCTCCTTGGCCGGCCTAGATTTTCTTCTTCGTCCTCCTTCCCGTTAAGCTCGCAGCGGCGGCAAGAAGCAGAGGGCGATAAATTTGGAATGTGGGTAAATGTGTCTATTTTTTAAATTTAGGGCGATAAATTTAAATTTTTAGGGCGATAAATATTAACTCCCAATTTGAAACCCAAAACCCAACAAACCCGCTCAGCTATTCTCTCTCCCCTCTCTCCAACTTTCAAACCCTCTCCCTCTTCTTCTCCCGAAAACCGCAGAACAGCGACGAGAGAGGCGACGCCGACGAGGAAAGCGACGGCGACGACGGCTGCGAGGTCGGCGACCGCTTGTTGGTTCTCCCGCCGCCGCCGACGTTGACGCTGGACCGACCGACGAGGAAGAAGCCGCCGCCGACGAAGAAGAAAGAAGAAGAGGGAGCCGACTTCGCCGCCGAAGAAGGCCGTCGCCGTCGCCGCCGTGGGAGGTAGAAGAAGACTCTGAGGTAGTTCTACTTCTGTATTGTTCATTTTGTTTGTGGTTTTCAAAATTTATGTTAGGGTTTCGGTTTCATGGATTTTTTTTGTGGAAATCTGGGTTTTGTTTATGGATTTGATAATTTATGGTTCATGCAATTCGATTTAGGGTGTTTAGGGTTTTGATTCTAGATTTCCAGATATTGTGTTGGTGGGATTCGAATTTGGGGTTTAGGGTTTCGTTTTGGGGGTTTATGGATTCGTTTTTCGATTTGTAGATTTAGGGTTTCATGGATTCGAATATGGGTGTTTAGGTTTTTTTTGCAGATTACCAGATTCTGGGTCTGTGGGATTCGAATTTTGGGGTTTAGGGTTTCATTTATTGATTTGTAGATTTTGGGGGTTTGTTGGATACGATTTTGGGGAATGTAGGTATTGTTTGTTGATTCCTTGATTAAATGTTACATGGATATTAGTTTTATCACTTCCGATACTCATTGTGATCATTTTATATATTGTTTCATTATGTTTTCTCGAATTCCATTTTGGGGGTTTGTTGGATACGATTTTGTTGAATCTGGGTATCATTTGTCGATTCGTTGGTTAAATGTTATATTGATATCAGTTTTTTCAATTATGATACTTATTCGGGGCATTTTTTATATTGTTTCAGTGAATGGGGAGACCGAAAAAGAACTCAAAGCCCAACAATGAGGGAGAAGGATCATCAAAGCAGCCACCGGATGTACAACAACAAGAGGTTTCATTTCTTACTCCGTTTCCCGATCGGTTATGTTGGCTAAAAATTACTAGTCGGATGCATTTTAATATTTTCATTGACTGATAGTTTTCTTAGTATCTAACTATGTTTCAGGAACAACCCGTGAGGAAGAAATCTAAAAATTACTAGTCGGATGCATTTTAATATTTTCATTGAATTACCGTCATTGCTGCTCCTCATGCCAGCCTCACACCACTGCCCCCCTCTTTCCTTTTCTGTTTGTTTTCCTTCCCTCCGTTTTTTATGCCCTTCCAACCCCAAACTTTAAGTCAAATGTATCACATTGACAGCCCTCACAGTGCACGTAACACCTTTTGAAACATCATAAAAGAGACCTCAGAAAAAACTTTCAATAAACATAAACAACCTATGAATACCTCAAATATGCACAAAAGATTGATAAAATATCACTGAAGAGACATCAAACACCCCAAACTGCCGCTAACATTGTCATCTAGATTCCAAACATGCATTTCCGTCAAGCAAGCAAATCAGCAGAATCAGATCAAAAAAATGCAGAAGGGACCTGCTGTTCATACTGCTACAAACAACTTCCCATCAAAGACAGCATTCAAAAAACTAAAAAAAGGTTACCACCCTTTTAAATCAGAAATCCAGGGTTACAAAATCCCTATAGAATCCCAATTAGCTCCTAAGTCTCTCCTCAAATCCATGTCACTTCTGTACCAGAAGCATTGCAGACGTACAACAGTAGGCCCTCACTCGATCTTACACATGCAGGCAAAGACCTCAGCAATTCCATTAATCAAATAAAGCAGTCATCTCCTACTCCACATTCACGGATCATCGTATTGTCAAGCAATCGGAGAACGAGAATTAGCATCGAAAATCCTTACCCTGAGGTCTCGAAGCACCGGCGAGCGAGAGAAAATAACAGTGAGATTCAGTGACCGAGCGACGATGCAACGACGCCGTTCCTTGAGCTTCCACTTTCGATCGCCGCTAGCTAACTGCCGGAGGAGTCCTCGCTGCCACTGTCAAAATTCACCTCAGTCGCCGATCTCTCCCTCCGATTTTCCCCTCCCTCCACGGATCCTCTCTGGAATAAAGGAATCAAGCGACCTCAGATCAGTCTTCTTCAGAAGGAACAAGGTGACGGACTATCTCCGATTCGCCTGTAACTTGACAGCTTCCATTTCCATTTTCCAGTTTTTGTTTCCCCGCTATAACTGCTTGCTCAGTTGTGTTTCCCTTGCGAAAAAAGGACTGGCATGTACTGTTCGCCGAGTAAAGAAGGAAAGAAAAGTAAAGACGGAAAAGTTTCTCTAAGCTACATAAGATTCCGAAAAACTTGCAATTTGGTACACTGATTGTCTAAAAGAGTAAAAGTTAAAACTTTGTTAGTTTGTTATAATCAACGAATTTGTTCATCAGTGTCAAATACTGAACACGTAGACAGGTTATTTGTATTGTAATTATTATTTTTTAAATAATACAATTAATTAAATTTAAGAGACATCTATGTGGCATAGTTAATGATTGATTTTTAGTCATGTCAGAGTCAACTAACAGTCAACCGAACGAAAACTTAACGGTTTGACTAATAAATTATTTCTAAAAGATATGGCTATTATTTTGGTTAAAACAAAATATTTGGCTATTAAATTGTATTTGCCCTAAAATATTTATGATTTCTTTGTGAAATGGTTTGAATGATTTGTTAGATATTTTGGTGAAGATATGAATATGAAATTGTTTATGGTCAATTTAACATTTTTAAATTAGTGTAATACACAATTCTTGTATGTTATATATCATGATCGGTTCTATAAACAGTTTACCAATAATTTTTATAACGGTTAACCATTGAACCGTAAATCACAAACTTTTCCGGCTCTAAGAATGGAGGTTCTTTGTTTGATTTGTTCTTGGATGGGCTCCAATATGAGTGGGCCCGTAGTATGGATGAGAAACCCTATTAACATTTTCTTACAATTTTGAGCCCAATAAAAGCCTCCTGTAGAAGCGAGAAGAAATTCTGATGGGTACAGGGAAGAAAGACAATGTGCTGACGTGGAAGCCTGGATGGAAGTAAAAACTAAAATGTCAATCCCTGCTTAACCGGAAACCCTACTCTGGCCGCCGGCCATTCTTTTCCTTCTCTTCCCCAATTCTGTTGTTATCCCCAATTCCCTTCTAAATCCGTAAAGTATCTACAAATTCCCAATCTCATATTGAACCCAATACCAGGTTTCTATCATTCACCCAGAAACAAGCTTGTCAATTTCCGTCATACGGAAGTATTTCGAAAACTTCATCGCACGTGTCAAATTCCTCAAGTGCTTGACCGCAATCGATTGGAGCTCCACCGGTCCCACGCAATGGAGGGAAGCAGATTCCGACTTCCTCCAGCACGTCCGGCGCATTGGCCCTCCGATGGCACCTTGTGACCACAGGAATCTCTATCTCAGCACCATCCTTAAAGGTCATGGCGTTGCGAACAGCAGCGAGAAAGTCCTGCTTATTGTGAATTCCTGGACCAATGCCTGCTCTGCTGAGGATTTTATCCATGCCATGGTTCTTCATCAAACTTTCAATCCCCCTGGCGTATTCATAATTGCTCCGCGGAGTACACGTCCCGTGTTTGTAATACTCGTC